TGAATAAAAGGAATGTCACAAAGGTTTTAAAATGATCCATGGTGTTGAAAAAATGAGAAAGAGTTTATTATCCACTTTCTTAGTACTTGAACCTAGAGTCCCAGAATCATCCAATGAAGCTCAATCGTTAAAAAAATTCAGGATAGGTACTAGGAATCACTTTTTTACAAAATTCATAAACTACACAAGTTACTACCACAGGCTCTACTGAGGGCCATCAATTTACATGTAGATGTGAGATGGTTGTAAAAAGTGATTAGAAGGCTTCGTGGAAGATAAAGCTAGTCCTCAAAATATTACTTACAAAACAGTAGGACCCCTGTATCCATGGGGGATCAAGTTCCAAGCCTCCCTATAGCTGATGAAAACCGCGGACTATAGAAAACACTATTTTAGTAGTGAATGCTATACATAGCATGATTTCTGGAACCCTCTAGTGTGGGTATGGTAATGACATTGTGGAAATACATTTCTCTAGCAAACGCTATATATAAGCATGGTCACTGGCTCCAACTAGTGGCCAGTTCTGGTAACTTCATCTTCAGAAATATATATTTCTAGAATTTTTCTTTTGGTTTTTAAAATATTTTCAGACAGTGAATAAGTGAATCATCAGATACTGATCCCTTCTATATTGGATATACTGTGAATATTTTTGCTTTTAGCGGCCACAAAGAGGAAGGCTCTGTTATACTATCTGTGAGCTTCTTACAGATTCACTGGCCACTGTGGGTGACCAGATGCCTTTGGCAGACCTTAGACAGAACTTTGGGAAGACGATTCCAGCAGGGCTTTTGCTAGGTTCTTATGAGACATCTGTTATACGATATATATCTTCTTGTACAACCCAAAACATTGAGGAGAGCATATGGGTACAATGTATACAGCGTAAAATCATTCAGTCACTTTGCATATACCGTATTTTTCGCTCCATAAGACACACCTTTCCATAAGACGCACCAATTTTTTAGGAGAAGAAAACAGGAAAATATAATCTGTTTTCTTCGCTCCATAAGACGCACAGACTTTCCAACCTCCTGCTTTGTGGGGGAAAAGTGCGTCTTATGGTGCGAAAAATACGGTACATGCCATTGAAAAATACACAGGGAAATCCTGTAAATTGAAGTCCAAGATGTTAACATTTCTGAGTGCTGAAGCAGGGCATATAGCTGCCCTCCCTGATAGCTGAAACCATTTGAAATGGAAGATGTTGGGACTTCTGTATGAAGTCAACATCTCTGTCATTGAGCCCTTTCTTCCTCCATTCTAAGAGTCCTCAATCAAAGCAAAACATGGTCTGCCTGTCTACCTATTGGCCCTAAGCTGAGAGGGGAAGGATGTTTGTAAAAAAACAAACACCACAACAACTCTCTTAGATAATGAAAATATGTGCTTATTATTTTTATTGTAACAGAGCCCATTATAACCAACCACACACACACAAAACCAGTTTACTTTCTGCCTATTTTTAAAAAGGAGGAAAGGGGCTCCAAAGAAAGGAAAGAATAATATCACACATCACGGTCACATTGGTGGGAAGCTCCCAAAGTATTTTCTTTCTGTGTTTACGAAATAAACCAACAAACGGAAAAAGGGGAGAGAGAAAAAAAAACCCAACACCATATCTTCCAAAGTTAAACTAATATGAAATGGCCCCTGTATTTGAACTTGTCGCACAGAGCTGGTTTAAATTTTAATGCAAGCTCTGGAGTAGATTTGTGTAAGGCAAGGTAAAGCAAGGCCCATGAAATATTGATTCTGTACATTTTCTTATGAATTTTTATACTCCAATTTAGTAAATTTTTCATCTTGCCTGCACTTAGAGGTTGCCTATAAAGTTGTTACTACCAATTGTATTAACTGTTGTAAATAAATCATCTTGGTTGGGGCTATTTGTCTGAACATGGGCCGACAGGGCCCAGTTTTGTTTGAGCTCTGACATTCACCTGCTCCCGACTGAAAAGGGCTAAAAGTGGATGATCAAAATTTAAAAGCAGCTGGAATGGGACAAGAGCAGCAGATGACTATTCTCAGTTTGTCACAGGCAAACATGGGATTCCTCCGGATTTACCCCTTAGTAGGTAATGGGGGCACAATAATACTAGCCATTGCTAGTCTTGAACATTTGAGACTCTCTCTCTCT